GAGGCTAGAGGGAAATTTACCCAGTATAAACTTGTACATGGATGGTATTATAGCCCCTCTAAACTCAAAAGAATGGGGCTCATGACGAATGACAACTGCTGGAAATGCCATTTGGCCTCTTGAAACTTTATGCTGCTATTTGGGAATGTGGGGAAGTTTATTCCTTTTGGGAAAGAGAACTAGAATGTATAGAAAGGTGGATTGGTAAAACTATACCCAGGTCACCAAGATGATGTTTACTTGGGGATAAACGCCAGGGGTAACAAAATGTGAGTATGTGGTTTTAAAGGTGAAGGGGTAATAACTGCAGCACGGGTCATTCTTGGTGTATGGAAGGATCTTTCTCCTACCAGACTTTAACAGATGGATGGACAATTTGATGAAAATAATCTCATATGAGAAATTATTGGCTAAGTTGAATGATAACATGGACATTTCTGTAAAATCTTGGACACCTGTTTTTGATTGAAGTGCCTGTGACAGGTTTGATTGCTCCATTGACTAAAACACATTTGAAACTAGTACATTAGGAAAACAAATCTTTGTTTTTGGCACTTTATGGATGTGGTATGGATTTGGCCTTTTAATTTAGAATTGAAACTAATTGTACTTGTAACAGGTTAAACTGAGTGGAAATCAGAGGTGTGGAGGCTTGTCACAGGCACTTTGACATTTTTATTTTCTTGTTTATTTTTGCTCTGGAGTGCACTTGCATATGCATATGTACAGATAAATTTGTTGTTTTACTCCTTCGGCCCAAAGTAATGTGCTGCTGTCTGTTATATGTTACGTGGTAAAAATTGTAAAATATAATAAAAACTTGAATTAAAAAAAAAAAAAACTACAAAAGTAAACCCCTTCTGCTTTAAAATGACACCTGTAAACCCCACCATGCCCCTCTCTCTGTGTACCCACCTAGAGCTGGTGCGACTCTGTCCGGATGGCAGCAGAGGAACCATACCATTCTCCAGGCTGCATCTCCCAGAGGGGCCGCGGACTCTAACATGCACCATAATACTCCGATTTCGCTCCGGAAACATCAACAGAACTCTACGGGCTCCATCTCCACGGCTCGTTTATCCACATTCGCGCCGCAGAATCGCGTCGCCGGGAGGGGAGGAGGTAACGGTCGGGAAAGCGGCGGAGCGGTCACTCACTCTCTCTGACTATCGCGCTCTTAAGAGGATGAAGAGAGGAGGATGAAGAGGAGATTAAAAGGAGAGGCGGCTCCGTCGACCGTATGGCCTTAATTAGACAAATTAAGCTTGGGCTAATTTTACCTGTAAACGACCTGTTCCCAACAAAAAGTGTGTCACCGACTGTTTACACGCCGATTACAAATTTGTTTCATCAGATTTTGAATTTTAAACACCACTGAATTTGACTTTTTTAACTCTGAAAAAACATGTTTGCACTAGAAAAGCAGTCAGAGAGCGCAGACCTCCGCCAAGGACTACCCCCATTTTTTATAAATTGCGATAAAATCAGTCTTCTGGATCAGATCCGGATCAGCCTTTGGAATATGAAAGAGGATCCCATTGTCCATCCCTGAGTCAAATTTCATGGGGTTTGGTCAATAATTAGCCAAGATATTGAGAAACAAAATTTTTGGCCCCATTTACCACAATGTTAACTAAAATTTCAAAGTGATCCAGAATCCAGGATTTCTTCCGGATCAGCCCCAAAATGAAATCAGTTCTTCCTTTTCACATTTCCAACAAATCCTGAAAATTTCATCAAAATCGGTCCATAACTTTTTGAGTTATGTTGCTAACAGACAAACAAACAAATAAACAAACAAACAACAAACAAACAAACAAACAGACAAACAGACAAACGCCGGCAAAAACATAACCTCCTTGGCAGAGGTAATTATGTTTATTCTGAATAAAAAAAAATGTTGTCAAGCTGTAAAATTCAACAGTGAAAATTCAGAGTGTAAAATTCAAAGGAAAGATCCAAGATCCCGAGGCAGAAGCAATCGATCCAGAGTGATCCGATCTAACTTAAGCAGGAAATGGTGCGGTGAAGCGATCTGATTGGTCAGATTTAGTCTCATTTAAACCTCATCTCTTATTTATTAAGTGTAAACTCCGCCCATAAATGAGAATGACCAATAGGAAACAGCCTCTGTCCTTGTCACTCACTCTGGATCGATTGCTTCTGTCTTGGATCTTTGCTTGAATTTTGCTGTTGTTCTTTTGAATTTGAGGGCTTGAAAATACTTGTGCTGAATATTTAAAAAGTGAATTTTTTATTTTGAAACATATTGAAAATTTTACTATATAATATTATAACCATATATTATTATGTAATGTATGTATATGTGTATAATTACTATGAAATATTATTATACACATATTTTCCATCATACTCCCCGTTTCAATTAATTAAAGTTTCATACACCGGGTATACCTCCTTGTCTGTACTAAATATTTAAAATATTTTATTTAGAATTTGAACTTTGGTGTATTAAGTGTTTATAAACTCATCCTGGTGAGTCATTAGGATGTTCTGAACAAAAAGAAAGTAAAAGAAGAATAATTTTGGACCTCTGCAAATTGTTCAAAATGAATTCTGTTTTTCACGTTTTTAAGATCAAAAAAATCAGGTACGGAGCCTTTAAAAGTACAAAACTAAACCACTTCTGCTTTAAAATGAAACTCTAAAAAATATTGAAAGAGTGTATTTAAAATGTCAACAACTAAAATTCCAAATAAAAATAATTCAAACGTCTTTTTTCAGAGTTTAAAAAAATCAAAGTGAGAAATTCGGCGGTACTTAAAATTTTAAATCTGATGGAACAAATTATTTTTCATACGCATGTTTATACAAATATAAGAAGGTCCAATCTGATGCTTTTGAATACTGATTAAACCTTCATTGTGCCCTTAAGCAAGACACTTCACCCACATTTTCTAGTCTGAAAGTGAAGTGTGTGTGATAAAACTGATTATTATTATACATTACATTATTATTCGTAAAATCTTGGTTGTAAATCTTGAGCGTTTGTCGTTGACTTTGAGCAGCTCCAGCGCCGACAGAGCGGAGTGACAGAATAAGGCCAGAGCGTAAACACATAAACGAAGTGAAAGTCCGATAACGGCGTCAGAGCGAGACAGCTGCATCTCCAGAGTCACTGAGGAGTTTAAGACGTGTCATTTCAAGGACGTTTTAAACATTAACCAGACAAGATGTTATGATGTAAACTGATGATCACGTTTAAAATGTTGAAGATGGTACTAAAAACATATCGTAAGTTAAGTTTTAAATAATTCACAGAGAAATTTAAAGTTGTCCTGACCAAGATTAACCACGAGGTCACAGAGACGGGTCAAATGCAGAGGACAAATTTCCCTCCAGAGACAAGAAAACGTATCTGAACCTCCACTCCAGTTTATTTGAACAGGTTTCTCCTCTTTCCAGATGGAAGCCTGAAGTGATCCTCTGTGTTTTTAAAGTCCATCATCTTTCACCAGAGTCATTTTGAACACTTCACTGATAAATCACCTTCACGACAAACAAACAAACTCCAGAGAAACAGCGTCTGTGTGGAGGTTTATGCAAAACTTAAAACTTCACCTCCTGAGAGAGAGAAAGACCTGGAACTAAACCTGGAACTAGACCTGGAACTAAACCTGGAACTAAACCTGGAACTAAACCTGGAACTAAACCTGGAACTAAACCTGGAACTAAACCTGAACTAAACCTGAACTAAACCCGAACTAAAAGAGGACCACACCAGGTCTAAAACCTGGTATAAACATTGATCCAAAACCAGGTGAAAAACCAGGCCCAAGACCAGGCCCAAAACCAGGTGAAAACGCAAGACTAAAACAAAATCTAAAACCAGGTCTAAAACCTGGTCCCAAACCCTGGTCCCAAACCCTGGTCCCAAACCCTGGTCCCAAACCCTGGTCCCAAACCCCGGTGCCAAACCAGATCCAAAACTAGGACGCAAGGTGAAAAACCAGGTATAAACCAGGTGTAACTCCAGGTCCAAAACCAGGTCCAAAACCAAGTTTAAAACCAAGTCTAAACCAGGTCTAAACCAGGTTTAAACCAGGCTTAAAACCAGGTTTATACCAGGCTTAAAACCAGGTCTTAAACCAAGTCTAAATCAGGTCTAAACCAGGTTTAAACTAGGTCTACACCAGGAGAACACGAGCACACCCACAGGCTCCACATATTTCCATCTTCCTCAAATCTCCAGCAGCTCCAGCAGAAGTCGCAGAGGAAACACGAGTGTTTCTAGAGCAGGGGTGGGCAAACTTTTTGGCTTGCGGGCCACACAGGGTCCTAAAATATGACTGAAGGGCCGGACAGGAGACAGGACACGACGTGTTAAGAGCCCGGCTCCATTGCATTTGTATTTACGCTCATGTAGAACATATTCAACACTACAACTTTCACGCTCAAGTTTCAGAAAACATGAAAGGTGAACAGATCTGCTCCACTGCACCCCACAGGCGAGTGTGAGCCCTGAGCGGTTCCATCTCACTGGGAACCAGAGCCCGGTACACCACAAAGTTACACAGAAACACCTCCACGTGCAGTAGAACCAGATCCATAAGACTTTCCACGCATTAAGACTTGGTACACAGCATCTATAATTCTTTTGACTTTATTTTAAACCCACTCATACTGGAAACAGTGCAGCCTTATGTCTTGAACACTTCTGCCTCACTCATGGTCTGAATACGCTGCCGGAATATTACTCCTGTAAGAACACTTTCCCATAAAGCATTGCGGCCAACATAATACGCTGCATCTCAATGTATATATAGTGCGCCATCTACTGGGAAACGCCAGAAATGCAGGAAAAATAAAACATCAACAAGGTTTATTATTGTAATTTATTCAAGTTCGGCGGGCCAGATTAAAAGGTTTAAAGGGCCGCATACGGCCCCCGGGCCATAGTTTGCCCACCCCTGTTCTAGAGTGTTCCTCGCGAGCGCCTCTAGAGTGTTCCTCGCGAGCGTTTCTAGAGTGTTACTCACGGTGTGTGACTCCAGCCAGTGTTTGGTAGAACGTGGGCGTGTCGCTGTCGTCCGTGAGCGTCACACACGCGCCTCCAGAGAGCAGCCATCTTGAGAAGGTAAAGGCCTCTTTGTTCTGCAGCAGCCATGAACGGAAACGCTCATAGTTCACCTTATCTCCCTGGAGAAGGTCAAAGGAAACACATCAACAACACAGAACTAAACCAGGACTAAACCAGGACTAAACCAGGACTAAACCAGGTCTAACAGAGGGCTAACACAAGACTAAACGCTCATTGTTCACCTTATCTCCCTGAAGAAGGTCAAAGGAAATATATCAGCAGCTCAGAACTAAACCAGGACTGGACCCGTGTTAAACAGATGAGATGATCCTGTGTGTTTTTACCTCTAAGAAGCACTGTCTGAGAGCCAGAGGAACCTCTCCATCCAGAGCCTGGAGGACGGTCTCCATGTCCTCCCTGGAGGCATATCCACTGGGGTCACTCGCAAACAGACTGAACAGGTCTGAGGAGAAACGAGGAAAAATATTATTAGATATTTTATTTCAATGTAGAGAGTGAGAGGAGCAGAGGATGAAGAGGAGAAGGTCAGGGGAGCAGGGGATGAAGAGGAGAAGGTCAGAGGAGCAGAGGATGAAGAGGAGAAGGTCAGAGGAGCAGAGGATGAAGAGGAGAAGGTCAGAGGAGAAGGTCAGAGGAGGATGAGAGGAGAAGGTCAGAGGAGCAGAGGATGAAGAGGAGAAGGTCAGAGGAGCAGAGGATGAAGAGGAGAAGGTCAGAGGAGCAGAGGATGAAGAGGAGAAGGTCAGAGGAGCAGAGGATGAAGAGGAGAAGGTCAGAGGAGCAGAGGATGAAGAGGAGAAGGTCAGGGGAGCAGAGGATGAAGAGGATGAAGAGGAGAAGGTCAGGGGAGCAGAGGATGAAGAGGAGAAGGTCAGAGGAGCAGAGGATGAAGAGGAGAAGGTCAGAGGAGCAGAGGATGAAGAGGAGAAGGTCAGAGGAGCAGAGGATGAAGAGGAGAAGGTCAGAGGAGCAGAGGATGAAGAGGAGAAGGTCAGAGGAGCAGAGGATGAAGAGGAGAAGGTCAGAGGAGAAGGTCTGACTCACATTTTGCTTTCTCTTCATCTCGTCCTCGTGTGAGAAGAACCAAACCGACGATTAAATTATTGAAGTGGAGCCCTTTGGCTGTTCCTCCAAACGAAGAGTAAATCACCTGCACAAAAAAAAACAAACAGACATGTCACTATCAGATCGCAGATGTTTTGACCTGCTCGTTTCTATGGATACGTCATTGCTTGTTTCCTGGAATGTTCCGCAGTGTGACATTAAACAGCTCTAACTTTACATTTATTCAGTTACAGGTGGTTTTATCGCTCAAAAACACCAAGAAAAACAGACACTGTGACTGTGAGCGGGGTCGCCTCTCCACAGATCTGACCTGTAACTTGGTCTGGTTTGGTCTCCGTGACGATAGAAAGGTTTAATGTCATATTGTGTGGGGGAAAAAAAGTCATTATCACGATTATTTTGGTCAATATTGAAATCACGATTAGTCAAACGATTATTTTTTTAGTTACACGATGCTTTTGTTCAGCAACTGTTTTCAAACTGAGAATAAATACAGGCTACAAATATGAAACTTAGAGCAGTTCAGTCCTGGTTTAGTCCTGGTTCAGACCTGGTTCAGACCTGGTTCAGTCCTGGTTCAGTCCTGGTTCAGACCTGGTTCAGACCTAGTTCAGACCTAGTTCAGACCTAGTTCAGACCTGGTTCAGACCTGGTTCAGACCTAGTTCAGACCTGGTTCAGTCCTAGTTCAGTCCTAGTTCAGACCTAGTTCAGACCTAGTTCAGACCTAGTTCAGACCTGGTTCAGACCTGGTTCAGTCCTAGTTCAGTCCTGGTTCAGTCCTGGTTTAGTCCTTTCAGGTTCAGTCCTGGTTTAGTCCTGGTTCAGTCCTGGTTTAGTTCCTGGTTCAGTCCTAGTTCAGTCCTGGTTTAGTCCTGGTTCAGTCCTGGTTCAGTCCTGGTTCAGTCCTGGTTCAGTCCTGGTTTAGTCCTGGTTCAGTCCTAGTTCAGTCCTGGTTCAGACCTGGTTCAGACCTAGTTCAGACCTAGTTCAGTCCTAGTTCAGACCTGGTTCAGACCTAGTTCAGACCTGGTTCAGACCTAGTTCAGACCTGGTTCAGTCCTAGTTTAGTCCTGGTTCAGACCTGGTTCAGTACTGATTTAGTCCTGATTTAGTCCCGGTTCAGTCCCAGTTTAGTCCTGGTTCAGTCATGGTTTAGTTCCGGTTTAGTCCTGGTTTAGTCCTGGTTCAGTCCTAGTTTAGTCCTGGTTTAGTCCTGGTTTGGTCTTGATTCAGTCCTGGTTCAGACCTGGTTCAGTCCTAGTTCAGACCTGGTTCAGACCTGGTTCAGTCCTAGTTTAGTCCTGGTTTAGTCCTGGTTTGGTCTTGATTCAGTCCTGGTTCAGACCTGGTTCAGTCCTAGTTTGGTTCTGATTCGGTCCTGATTCAGTCCTGATTCAGTCCTAGTTTAGTCCTAGTTTAGTCCTGGTTCAGACCTGGTTCAGTCCTAGTTTAGTCCTAGTTCGGTCCTGATTCAGTCCATGGTTCGGTCCTGGTTTAGTCCCAGTTCGTGATCAAAACTTGATTATTTGCACAGCCTTAGTTTGACCCTCACACGATGAATCTTCAGTCTAAGTTTGTGGAGAAACGTTTGTGGATCAGAAATTTGTAGATTTCAAAAACGGGGAGTTACACAGACGTCTGCAAAATATCTGAAATTACAAAACTAAAACGAAGAACGAACGAAAACAAACTTGTGTAGTGCAGATTTTGCAACAGTGAACGAAACAGAACGTGTTATTTGTCCAGCGTTATGTAAGGCTCATGTAAATCCGATGGGAACTCCGGATAAACAAATGATTCTTATTCAAACAAACAGGGAAAGACGTCTTCCTCGAACGCCGATTTGAAAAACAAATGATTGTACCTCAAAGTCGACTGAAAATATCCTCTAGAAACGCCACAGACTCAACAGAGAACAAGACTCAAATACATGTAGGATTGGGCTTGGTTGAATTTGAGAAGAAATATCCAGAGCAGAACTAAACCAGGACTAAACCTGGACTAAACCAGGTCTAAAGCAGGACTAACACAAGACTAAACACTCATAGTTCACCTTCTCTCTTTGAAGAAGGTCATAGGAAATATATAAACAAAGTAGATCTAACTCAGGGCTGAACCAGGACTAAACCAAGACTGAACCAGGGCTGAACCAGGACTAAACCAGGACTGAACCAAGACTAAACCAGGACTGAACCAGGACTAAACCAAGGACTAAACCAAGACTAAACCAGGACTGAACCAGGACTGAACCAGGACTAAACAAGGATTGATACAAGACTAAACCAAGACTGAACCAGGACTGAATCAGGACTAAACCAAGACTAAACCAGGACTGAACCAGGACTAAACCAGGACTGAACCAGGACTGAACCAGGACTAAACCAGACTGAAACCAGGACTGAACCAGGACTGAACCAGGACTAAACCAGGACTAAACCAAGACTAAACCAGGACTGAACCAGGACTAAACAAGGATTGATACAAGACTAAACCAAGACTGAACCAGGACTGAATCAGGACTAAACCAAGACTAAACCAGGACTGAACCAGGACTGAACCAGGACTGAACCAGGACTAAACCAGGACGACTGAACCAGGACTGAACCAGGACTGAACTGAAACCAAAACCAAGACTAAACCAGGACTAAACCAGGACTAAACCAGGACTAAACCAAGACTAAACCAGGACTGAACCAGGACTAAACAAGGACTGAAACCAGAGACTAAACCAAGACTGAACCAGGACTAAACCAAGACTGAACCAGGACTGAAACCAGGACTGAACCAGGACTAAACCAGGTCTAAACCAGGTCTAAACCAGGACTTCCTCTATGAAGCACTGTATGAGAACCAGAGGGACGGTGGTTGAATTTGAGAAGAAACATCCACCTTTACAGAAATCATCGGTCACCCAAAACTACAAAAATGGCTGTCCTAGCCTAGATTAACTTTGGAATTCCGTTTGTAAACCTTTTGTATTCTACATGTTGACCCTCTGAGGCTCCCGTAGTTAGTGGAGCATCGTTTTAATGGATGTAGAGGAGGAACTGTTAAAATATTTGATACTAAACAGGAGCCAAACAAACATTTAACTTGGTCTGTTTTAAGTTAGTTCATCTTCATAAAGAATTTCTGGCTTTCAGTCCTGGTTTAGTCCTGGTTTAGTCCTGGTCCAGTCCTGGTCCAGTCCCGGTTCTGGTCCAGGGACATTGTTATTTACAAAGATGCGTGTCGCGGTGTTTTCAGTCGGGGTTTTCCTGTTTGGCAGAAGCAGAGGTTACACAGCTGTGACAACGACCCTCCACATCTGGACCCTGTCGTTACGGAAACTGCTGCCATGGCGACGGGAGGAAGAAGAGGAAGAAGAGGAGGGAGAGGAAAGGAAGATGGCGGAGAGACTGAGAGGGCTGAGGAAAAGACCAGTGTAAACAGAAAAACATAAAGGAAGAATTACTGGGTTCATTCTGTCTGTACTTTAGTTGTGTGTAGGAATGGGCTAAAAAAAGTATCTGCAGAGTCAATATTAACCAATGTAGGGACAGAAATCTCTTTTTCTTTCTTTAAACACAGTTAAGTTATTACAAAATAGATCCACTTGTGTTATGCAACTGCTGTTTATCTTACAACTAACTACTGAACAACTTTGTCTGAATTTAAGTCCAAACTAGGGCAAAAAATGTAAGTTTGATCTCTACTTTGGTCGATCTCTGTGATGAGGCGAGTGCATTTTAAATCGACAAGTCAACAGCCGATCATGTTGCAGCAATAAAATCCTACACCAGAATCAAACAAGTGCATCTATCGTTACCTCTCCTGTTGTTTAGGAGAACAGAGTCAGGGCTGGGTTATGAAACACATAAATGAGTATTAAACTTTAAGAGTGTTGTTCACCAGCAGGACAGAGGTGCGGATACCGTTTAGTTTAACCAAGTTTAGTTACATACTGAAGGCCTTAGGAGTGTAACGGTGCATGTATTCGTGCTCGTTTCAGTGCAGGACGTTCAGTACAGGGCTGTGCATGAGTGAGTTTGCTCAATTTGTGTGTGTTTATATTCCTCCACTCCATGTGCAGCTACACAGAGGCTCGGCTCTTTAATATTCACAAGGAACTCATCCATGATTGGAGCAGTGCCCCCCCTCCACGTTTTATTTTTTGAAAAGTTTTTTGAAAATAAAAACACAAATAGACAACATTTTGTTCAGACACTGTACCAAAAATGAACCGAACCATGACTGAACCGTTCTGTACAGAGGAACGTACAGAACTGTGATTTTTGTACCGTTACAGCCCTAGTAGGCCTAGATTGAGTATATTGGAATAATCAGTAGTGCTGCATGTGGGGGATTGGTGTTTAAAGATCCATTAAACCCTCTCATGAAGATTTACTATGCCGCTAAGCAAAATCTGAAAAATCCTCCAGAGTGGGCGGTGCCAGCAGGTTGAGGGGAGGCCTCTGGAGCGATGATTGACAGTCGACCAACAGCCACAACAGTCCGACACGGCGCGAACAGAGCGGACATTTGTGATCGGATCATGTATTTGTACGAAAGGGGAAAGGGGGGCAGATAACATAAGATTTCTCTTCTTTCCGCTCCTTTTCATTCATTTCTTGTATGTCTGATGTTGTGACTCTCGATGTCTTTTTATACTTTATGAATGAAATAAATAAACAAATGTATTTCCCTTTTCTCCAGACATGCAGGGACATGGCGGTGTTAGATGGGGGAGGGGCTGAGCGGAGACTCATCGGCGCCGTTAGTCCAACCTGAAAATTCAAATGTCCTGTCTCTTGATCATAAAGACGCCGTTACAGACACGACTTTTGACCCAAAAATTTTAACAAATCTGCACTAAAATGCCAAAATAAGGCCAGGGATAGAAATACACTTATATTTTAGACTCATTTACACAGAGAATCAGGAGAAAAAAGTGACAGATGAACTCTACCAACACAAAAAACCCCCACACACAACACAATATACAAAAAAATCAAACCAATTAAATATCATGAGACCAAAAGTGCGATTCAGAATCTGGTCTCATCTCGATCTCGTGTCTCGTCTTGTAGTACAGGCGAGTTTCAGCGGACGTCATTGTTATTAAAAGCCCACGTTGCATGCTGGGAAATATTTTGGTCGGAGGCAAGAAACACGGTAGCGTCAAACACAGTGCATAACCTCGTGTATTTATCCCCGATAATGGTAAATTCCTGCTGCATTATCGGATGCACAAATAGAAGCACGGAAGAAGGAAAATGTCTTTTTCGTATTCTGAGTGAAAAGAACCGCTAACGGTGAATTAAACGACTTTCAAACATCCGCAGAGCAAACGTAGAAGATCCTAACAAACCGTGGACTCCAACAAGTTCAACAACACATCGAGACTCTTGGAGGTTTTCATCTTTTCTGCTGTGAACGGCCCAGGAGTTTACACCAAGTCATTGAGTGTGTATACATGCACATCAGTATCCCGGGTATGACTGGGTTTTTTGAGTATCCTGGTTTCTTGATGGTGCACGTAAACGCAGTAACCTGGTTTCAGTATCCGGGTTATGGCAGTGTCCCGGTTATTAGAAACCGGGTTACTGTAGCTGGTTTATTCCGATAGTAACCAGGATACTTGTGGCATGTAAACACAGTATCCTGGTTACTGCAACATAAAGTTGAGTGCGCATGCGTCCAAAACACTTTCCAGTCTTTTCACCACAACAGTAGCGACATAAATAAATTGACCAACATAAATAAAGTGACCAAACGAGTGAAATGACTGTAAAATAAAGAGCTGCACTAAACCTGCACACGTACAATCTGCACTTGTGTGACGCTGAAAAACTAAAACATGAACTATCTCCTGTACTGTATACGCACAGAACACACTCACCATCATCAGCACCTCTTCTGTCATAAAACGAACACACATAATCCACTGAGTCGTGTCATTCAGTCTGACAGAAGCTGATCTCATCAGCGGCACAAGGAGAGAACTGTTTTTATCACCGCTAACAGTTTATGCTAATTAGCGATGCGGTTTTAAGTCTCGTTTCTGTAAAATGTAAACAAATGTGATCAAAGCTGAATTATCTGATCAAACGGGCTGATGTGGATCTACAGTGGTTCTGGTTTATATGTTGTAAAGTTGAGTTTATTTATGCAGAAGATTTTAATGAAGAATCTGTGGGTTTGATGTGTGCAGTGGATTGTGGGAGATCTCGTAGCTCCTTAGCTTCTTATGCTAAAGGAGCTCACGGTTTGTATTTTTCCTGGTTTATGAAATTGATTTAAGTTAATTTTTGTCCTTGCGCATTTGTAAGATTATGTCAAGAAACCAGGACACTCCATTTGATCATGTACACGCGGATATGAGTGTCTCGGTTGCTCAGTGCGCATGTAAACACAGTAACACGAATACTGACAGAACCGGGATATGGATCATAACCGGGTTATTGAAGTGCATGTAAACACACTCCATGTGGATATTTGTCCAGGTAGTTGGCGATTCTGACCAGAAATTTGGATTCATCCACCTTTTGTAGGGGTTGAAAAAGGTGATTTGTCGTCCATCGATGTTTATGACCAATTTCTGGTCAAATCATCTTGGGTCCTCTGCCGTTAGAGTGGATAAATAACCGGGATCAATACCCTTTACGTGCTTTCTCTCTCCGTCCGTCATGTTGAATTAGTGTTTCTTGCCGCCGACCAAAATAATTCCCAGCATGCAACGCGCGCTTTTGTCAACAATGAAACTCGCCTATAGCGTCCAGTCGGTGCATTGTCCCTCACCTCAGCGACTTTGGGTGGAACGGCGTCTCCCAGCACCTCTCTGTAGAAGCTCTGCTGGCTCATGTAACAGGAGACTCCACTGGAACGTTTGAAAGCATCTTTCAGACGCTTCAGCTCCACATCCGTCACTGAAACACAAAGACAAACGCACAAACACACACATTAAACACATTAGACTGAGACACACACTCCACTTGGACTCACTAACCCACATTTTAGACAAAACAAAACACAGAAAAGTCAGGATTTTCTGGAGTGTCTGGATTTCGTTTTGTCTAAAATTTTGATCCTTTTTTCCAAGAGCGCCCTCTACCTGTTCACACTGATCGATTTTTTTGTTTTTCTGTACAGTAACTCGCATATTTGCATTATAACAGAATACACCTGGGTTATCTGGTCACCCGTCAGTGATTGACAGGTGGATTAACCAATCAGGGACACGCACAGACTGTCCGTATCAAAATAAATATCACTGCTTACGAGGAAAAATGAAAGGAAAACAATCTGACAGGGAGGATTTCTGCACAATCAGTGAGTTTTGTTTCTAGTTCACAATTTGGTCCAGACCCTGGTCCAGACCCTGGTCCAGACCCTGGTCCAGACCCTGGTCCAGTCTGGTTTTAGTTCTGGTTCAGTCTTGGTACAACCCTGGTAAAGCCCTGGTTAAATCCTTGTTTAGTCCTGGTTCAGTCCTATTTTAGTCCTGGTTCAGTCCTATTTTAGTCCTGGTTCTGTTCTAGTTTAGCCCTCAGTTCTGGTCTACTCTCTGGTCTACTCTCTGGTCTACTCTCTGGTCTACTGTCTGGTCTACTGTCTGGTCTACTCTCTGGTCTACTCTCTGGTCTAGTCTTGTTTAGGGTTTGGTTCAGTCTTGGTACAAACCTGGTAAAGCCCTGGTTAAATCCTTGTTTAGTCCTGGTTCTGTTCTAGTTTAGCCCTCAGTTCTGGTCTAGTCCCTGGGCTGGGCTAGTCCCTGGGCTAGTCCCTGGGCTAGTCCCTGGTTCCCTGGTCGAATCTCTGGTCCAGTCTCTGGTCTTGTCCCTGGTTTAGACCCTGGTTCAGTCTTGGTTTAGTATGTGGTTCAGTTCTATTTTAGTCCTGGTTCAGTTTTAGTTTAACCCTCGCTTCTGGTCTACTTTCTGGTTTAGTCCATGGTCTAGTCTTGTTTAGGCTCTGGTGAGTCTCGGTATAAACTTGGTAAAGCCCTGGTTAAATCCTTGTTTAGTCCTCGTTCTGTTCTAGTTTAGCCTTCAGTTCGGGTCTGGTCTAGTCCCTGGTCTAGTCTCTGGTCTAGTCCCTGGTTTAGTCCCTGGTTTAGTCCCTGGTTTAGTCCCTGGTCCAGTCTTGGTTTAGTATGTGGTTCAGTTCTATTTTAGTCCTGGTTCAGTTTTAGTTTAACCCTCGCTTCTGGTCTACTTTCTGGTTTAGTCCATGGTCTAGTCTTGTTTAGGCTCTGGTGAGTCTCGGTATAAACTTGGTAAAGCCCTGGTTAAATCCTTGTTTAGTCCTCGTTCTGTTCTAGTTTAGCCTTCAGTTCGGGTCTGGTCTAGTCCCTGGTCTAGTCTCTGGTCTAGTCCCTGGTTTAGTCCCTGGTCCAGTCTTGGTCTAGTCCCTGGTCCAGTCTTGGTCTAGTCCCTGGTTCAGTCTTGGTCTAGTCCCTGGTCCAGTCTTGGTCTAGTCCCTGGTCCAGTCTTGGTCTAGTCCCTGGTCCAGTCTTGGTCTAGTCCCTGGTCCAGTCTTGGTCTAGTCCCTGGTCCAGTCTTGGTCTAGTCCCTGGTTCAGTCTTGGTCTAGTCCTGGTCCAGTCTTGGTCTAGTCCCTGGTTCTGTCTTGGTCTAGTCCCTGGTTCAGTCTTGGTCTAGTCCCTGGTTCAGTCTTGGTTTAGTCCGTGGTTCAGTCCTATTTTAGTCCTGGTTCAGTTCTAGGTTTTAGTGTGAAATAAAAGTGTCACATGGGCGGGCGTTTTCAGTAAAAGTAAAAAAAAAATAAAAATAAATTAAAAGTAAAAAGCAAAAGTAAAAGGAAATAAAAGTGAGTTTATGCCGGAAATTTCTTACACTTACACGTTTTATTTTGAGTAAAAGCAGAAGCAGAAACACTGAGCGGATTCTGAACAGTAAATCCACCCGAGAGACGGAGGAAGTGCACAGGGTCAAACTCATTTAAAAACTGACAATGACCAAACCTGTGAGGACACGATGGATTTCACCTGAGTCCTTCTCATCAGAACTTTCACTCACAGACGTGAAGGTCGAGATAAAAGATAAAAATAATCATTCTGAATCACTTCTGACAGTTTTTACAGGACTTACGATATGAAAAATATTAATAAAAATATAAATTACACTGGAATAATCATGATTTAAAGGTTGAAATAAATACAACTTGACCAAAACAACACAAAATGACTTAAATACTTGGTCTGGTCCCTGGTCTGGTCCCTGGTCTGGTCCCTGGTCTGGTCCCTGGTCTGGTCCCTGGTCTGGTCCCTGGTCTAGTGCTCGGGTTTAGTCCCTGTTCCCATCCTGGTTCAGTCCCTGGTTCAGTCCTGGTTCAGTCCCTGGTTCAGTCCCTGGTTCAGTCCCTCATTTAGTGCTCGGTTTTAGTCCCTGGTCCAGTCCTAGTGGAGTCCCTGGTTTAGTCCTGGTTTAAGTCCTTAGCTCAGTGTTAGTTTAGTCCTGGTTCAGTCTTGGTACAACCCTGGTTCAGTCCTTGTTTAGTCCCTGGGTCAGTCCTGGCCCAGTTCTGGTTTAGAGTCTGATTTAGAGTCTGATTTAATCCTTGTATGGTCCCTGGTCCAGTCCCTGGTCCAGTCCCTGGCCTAGACTCTGGCCTAGACTCTGGCCTAGACTCTGGCCTAGACTCTGGCCTAGACTCTGGCCTAGACTCTGGCCTAGACTCTGGTTCAATCCGGGTTTAGCCCGGATCTCTGGTTCAGTCTCTGGTTCAGTCTCTGGTTCAGTCTCTGGTTCAGTCTCTGGTTCAGTCTCTGGTTCAGTCTCTGGTTCCCTCATCTAGTCCCTCATCCTGGTTTAGTCTCTGGTTCAAGCCTGGTTTAGCCCTTGATTTTAGTCCTGGTCCAGCTCTGGTTTAGTCCCTGGTCTAGTCCCTGGCCCAGTCCCTGGTCCAGTCCCTGGTCCAGTCCCTGGTCCAGTCCTGGTCCAGTCCTGGTTTAGCCCTTGGTTTTAGTTTCTTGTCTAGTCCCTGGTCCTGGTTTAGTCCTTAGTTTTAGTCCTGGGTTTAGTCCTGGTCTAGTCCTGGGTCTGATCCAGCCCTTTGCCGCAGAGGTAAACTGAGTGATGAAGAGTCTGAGTGTCAGAGGGACTCGCCACAAACACACAAACCAAAACTAAACCTGAATTATTTATAAATCACCAGAGCAGGAGCCACTTCAGGGACCAAACCTGGACTCTGGACTCTGTCACCGACCAAAACCACCACAAACCAAAACCATTATCCAACAAAACCATTACACACGGACCGACCAAAACCACCAGAGAAAAAAACTCCCACTGCCACATCTGTGACCCAGACCGAGAACACGGACCAGACCAGACCCACGAGACGAGCAAACCAGACCAGATTTGAGATCATTTATGAAAAAAAAATAATTGTTTGATGTGACAATTTAGTATTTTTATTTTATTTTATATTTTTGCTGTTATTAAACCACAGCTTTTTGGGACTACGGCTAAAACGTGTAAAGCAGAAATGTTAAATAAAAAGATGGAGATTGAATTTGAAAATCTAACATTAAGTTTCTAGTTCACAATTTGGTTTAAACCTGGCTTGGACTCTGGATTCGTTCCTGTTTTTTTCCCTGGCTTTGACCTGGTTTAGTCCTGGTTTAGTCCTGGTTTTGTTCTCATTCAGACCTGGTTTAGTCCTGGTTTCGTCCTGATTCAGATCTTCTTCAGTCCTGGTTAAGACTCCGGTTAAGACTCCGGTTAGATCCTGATTCAGATCTCCTTCATTCCAGGTTCAGACTCAGGTTCAGACTCAGGTTCAGACTCAGGTTCAGACTCAGGTTCAGACTCAGGTTCAGACTCAGGTTCAGACTCAGGTTCAGACTCAGGTTCAGACTCAGGTTCAGACTCAGGACTCAGGATCAGACTCAGGATCAGACTCAGGATCAGACCTGTTATTTTCACCCTGGATTAGTCTCACTTTAGTCCTGGACTTTAGACCTAGACCTAAGACCCAGACCTAAGACCTAAGACCAAAGAGCACAGACCTAAGACTTAAGACCATAGACCATAGACCTAAGACCATAGACCTAAGGCCACAGTCCTAAGACCAAAGACCATAGACCTAAGACTTAAGACCATAGACCATAGACCTAAGACCATAGACCTAAGACCTAAGACCATAGCCCTTCGACCCAAGACCATAGCCCTTTGACCTAAGACCATAGACCTTCGACCTAAGACCATAGACCTTCGACCTAAGACCATAGCCCTTTGACCTAAGACCATAGACCTTCGACCTAAGACCATAGACCTTCGACCTAAGACCATAGACCTTCGACCTAAGACCATAGACCTAAGACCTAAGACCATAGCCCTTCGACCCAAGACCATAGCCCTTTGACCTAAGACCATAGACCTTCGACCTAAGACCATAGACCTAAGACCATAGACCTTCAACCTTTGACCATAGACCTAAGACCTAAGACCATAGACCTAAGACCATAGACCTAAGACCTAAGACCATAGACCTAAGACCTAAGACCATAGACCTAAGACCATAGACCTTCACCTTTGACCATAGACCTAAGACCTAAGACCATAGACCTAAGACCATAGACCTAAGACCTAAGACCATAGCCCTTCGACCTAAGACCATAGACCTTCGACCTAAGACCATAGACCTTCGACCTAAGACCATAGACCTAAGACCATAGACCTTCAACCTTTGACCATAGACCTAAGACCTAAGACCATAGACCTAAGACCATAGACCTAAGACCTAAGACCATAGACCTAAGACCTAAGACCATAGACCTAAGACCTAAGACCTAAGACCATAGACCATAGACCTTCGACCACAGTCCTAAGACCACAGTCCTAAGACCTAAGACCATAGACTATATACCTAAGACCATAGACCTTAGACCGGAGACCTTCGAC